AAAAAACCACCAAACAGAGATTAACCCCCCATCACAAATAAAAGCTATCCAATAGATATTGGATATTATGCATTTTTTATGAAAATACTTTTAAAATGGTGCAGCAGTATTTCAATAGGCAACTGCTCGATGTGGAGTAAGTGATATCATTGGTGACATCAACAGATCTTTGTTGAAAGCTGAGAATACCAGAAATATATTTGCTTTTGTTTTATTGACTATTCATGGGAATTTGACTGTGTGGAACATAATAAATTATGACTAACATTATAAAGAACAGAGATTCCAGAACATTTAATTTCACTCATGTGGATTTGTACATATACTGAGAGATAGTCTTTCTAACAGAACAAAGGGATATTGCATGGCTTAAAATCAGGAAAGGTGTGTTTCTGGGTTATATTCTTTCACCATACTTATTCAATCAACATGCTGAGCAAATAATCCAAAAAAGTGGACTATATGAAGAACATAACATCAGTGTTGGAGGAAGGCTCATAAACAACCTATAGTATGCAGATGATACAACCTTGCTTGATGAAAGCAAAGAGGATTTGAAGCACTTACTGATGAAGATCAAAGACTACAGTCGTAAGAGTAGATTACACCTCATCATAAGGAAAACAAAATCTTAACAACTAGATTGCAACATCACAATACATTAAAAAAAAAGAAAAAGATTGAAGCTGTTAAAGATTTCATTTTGATTGGATCCACAATCAATGCCCATGGAAGCAACAGGCAAAAATAAATGATTTATTACATTGAGCAAATCTGCTGCAAAAAGTTCTCTTTAAAAAAGGTTAAAAGATAAATATGCCACTTTGTAAACTGACCTAAGCTACAATGTTTTCAATTCCTAAAATGCATGTTAAAGATGAACAATTAATAAGGAAGACTGAAAAAGACTTCATAGATTTCTATTATGTTAGTAAAGAATATTATATGTACCATGACCTGCCAGAAGAGCAATCAAATGTGTATGGAAAGAAGTACAGCTAGAATGCTTCTTAGAAGTGAGGATGGTGGGACTTCTCATTACATTGTGCAGGTTATCAGTTGGAAAACATGGTTGGTAAAGTAGAGGGTAATTAAATAAGAGAAAGACCTTCAATAAGATGGATTGATACAATGACTGCAACAGCAGGTTCAAACATAGGAACAATTGTGTGGATGGCACAGACTGGACAGTTTCCTTCTCTTACACATTAGGTCCTATGGGTTGGAACCAACTTGGTGGTACCTAACAGCAAGTTCCTGCATAGTACACGTAGCCTCACTCCAACCTGCAATCACTAATATCTATGGAGTAAGCAGTTAAAAATCAACAAAGTCCTTGGTAGTTTTGTTGTTAAGTGCTGTCAAGCTGGCTCCGACTCATAGCAACACTGTGTAAGGTTTCTGCAGAGCAGTTGATGAGTTTGAACTACCTACCTTGCGATTCAAATGACCTTGTAGTCCAGTGCTTAGCCTAGGTTCATGAAAATTAATGGCCTAATTGATGAAAATTGAATTTAAAGTCATAGTAAATTAGGTCTATGATTTTCCAACAATTTTGTAAATAGAATACTCCAGGTATTAATTTTCAATTAACAAAAATTTATATTTATTACAAATAAATCAATGTTTGTTCTTGTTGTTAAGTGTCATTGAGTAGGTTCCAACTCATAGTGACACTGTACAGGGTATCCTAGGAGTGGTTTGTGGGTTTGAAACATCATCACCTTCTGAGATCTAGTACTTATCCTACAGTGCCACACCAGGACTCCAAATCGGTATTTAGTGTCTAGAAATAATTATTGTGTGTTTTACTAGCCAAAGAAAAAGTAAAATAAGTGAGATATTAATAAAAAGGAAGTGAAATAAGCAATCATTTAAATACTGTCGAATTTATTATTTTTATTTAATCCAATAATAAATAATTCCTGAGCACCTACTATGTGCTAGACACTATGTGTCAGACATAAAGGTATGTCTATGAGATCCATTAAAATGATTGCAATCCCCTACATGTACCATCAGTTGACAGTATTTAGCTCTATTCACTTTAACTGTTGGAGTCCTGGTGTGGCGCTGTGGGCTAATGTGCCAGACTGCAAAGTCATTTGAACTGCAAGGTGGGCAGTTCAAGCTCACCAGCTGCTCCTTGGAAACCCTATACAGGGTCACTATGAGTCGGAATTGACTTGACGGCATTTAACAACAACAACTTTACCTATTGCATTTTTTCCTGTGTCTCCTGAAACCTTAATCTTTCCTCTGCCCACCTCTCTCTTCTTTATTGCCTGCCCTGTTACCCGTATGAACATGTGTCTACCATCTATAATTTTCCCTCCATGAAATAACTTTCCCCAGTAACCATCATAGATTGTTTCTTTTATTAAGAAAGCCTTTTCTTAACTTTTTATAACATTGGTCTCAACAATATTTGTGATTGACTAATTTCACTAAGAATAAGGTGTATCCATGTTGTGAGGTATTTTGCAGATTCATCACCATTTTCAACATTGTGTAGCATTCCATTGTATGTACTAATGTTTGTTTAAGCATTCCTCCATTTATGGACACAGGCTGTCTCTACCTTTTTGAAGTGTCTTTTGCAAACACCATATTGGAGGACACTGTTTTCTTATCCATTCTTTTCTCTTTGTCTCTTGACTGGGGCATTTAATCAATTTATATTCAGTGTAATTATTAATAGTTATACATTGATTGCTGTCATTTTGCTTTGAGGTTTTTTTGTGGAGCTGCTAGTTTCTTTGTTCCACATAATTTTCTGTGCTGAGTTCATTTTGTTTGTGTGCTATTATTTTAATTTCTGTTGTTTTAATATTTACTAAATCTTTCTGATCTTCCTCTTTTTTATTTTAATGTGCAGGTGCATTCATTTTGAGGATAGATTACAAGTTCCCTTGTAATTCATTAAATGTTTTCTTATTTAAAAGTCTATTTTATCTTGAAATATACTTGACTTCCTTGCCATTTATAAATTCTGTATCTACACTATTCCCTCTTTCTACTTTGTAGTTGAGTTCATTATAAATTAATATCTCTGGTTCCTTATATTTAGTATTGTAGGTTTGCCTTACTTTACTAAATACATCTACAATCAGGATTGAGTGAGTCCTGCTTACTGTTGTCATATATGGCAATCGCAGTTTGTTGTCTGCTGTTACTGGTTCTCAGTCCAAAGACCACCCTTTAGCAATTTTTGTAAAATTTTTCTGGTCATTAAAAATTCCTTTAATTTCTGTTTATCAGACAACATTCTAATTTTGTTATCATATTTGAGGGACAGCTTTGCTTGCTCACTATTCTTTGTTGGGTTCTTTTTTTCTTTCTTTCAGAGTTTTACATATGTCATAATTTTGCTTTCTTGCCTGCATAGTTTCTTTGTAGAAATCAGAACCTAGTCTTATTGGTTCTTCATTTTTCCTGATCTGCTATCAGGGTTCTTTTTTCTGTCTTCACTTCCAGCAAGCAAGGTTGTGTCATTCTCATATACCATATTGTTAATGAGTCTTCCTCCAATCTTCATGCCACATACCACTTCATACATCCAGTTTCTCACATTATTGGCTCAGTATAAAGATTGAGTAAGTGTAGTGAAGGGATGCAAGTTTGACAAACACCTTCCTTAATTTTAAACCCTTCTATATCCACTTTTTCTGTTCTACAGTTGCCTCTTGGTCTATATACAGGTTCCTCATGAGCACAGTGAAGTGTTCTGGAATACTCATTCTTTTTTTTTTTCTTTTCTTTTATGAATGCATTAACCTTTATTTCTTTTGATTTCTACTTGTGAAACAGGCACGTCACATTGTATAGTGTTAAATGGTTTGTGAACATTTCATATAAGCCCTGAGACAGATATCAAAACTAAGATAGTATATAGTCACCAACTCAACTCTAACTAAGATGACTCCAAGGAAATGTGTCATCACCGTTGTGGGAGAAATGACTCCAGGGGGCATTTACACAAACAAGTCATGAGAAGAAGGCCTGTGTTTACTGGGATCATAGTTGTCATTCTCAATAGTCAGTTGTGGATTGCTTTCTTGGACTTCTTGCAGCAGCTTTTGTATTTGAGTATTAGATGCATCTATCTTTAACCTGTGTAGTTAGGGGACAATTTTGATGCTTCAAGCCTTACCACAATATCTTTATCCCATTATATGCCAAAGAATTCTGATCCAGGTCCAAGGTTGTCAGGTTCTGTTTGCATTTAAAGGCAGATGAGAGGTCCAAGCAACTATAAGGTACCAGAGTGCATCCCCACAACCAGAGACATTTTAGGTTGCATACTGGATCCTTTGAGGTCTGACACAGAAAATTCAGCCTCATAATTCTGATGCAATTCTGCCCCACACCCAAGCACATTAAGCTCGACTTTTTTTGAAGAAACTTTGAGAGATGATTGCAGGCATTGTCGGTTATACCACAGCTCCACAGAACCAGGGTCTAGTTTACAGTTGGGGTCACTCAAGCCCTTACACGGAAACTGAACCCCACCATTCACAAGCTCATTCTTTGCCAAGCACAGGTGTGTCAGCATCTCATTTCTGACCATAATGGAAAGACCCTCACAACAGCCTTCTGTTAGACGACAGTTTTCCAACGACAACCTCTGTAGGGAGCAGTTTGATTTCTTCAGTGATTTACACAACTTCACACCATCATCCAAGAGCTCAATGTCTATGAGATTTAGGCATGTTAAAGGACTGGTCGGTTTTAAAGGCAAATGAGAACTCACCCCACCTTAGAATGGTAGCGGAAAGAACCCCCAACCTGAAATACTGCAGGTTACATTCTGGGTAGGTCAGAATCTGAGCACACAACAAAGGAAGCATATTCAGGACATCGTTTTAAAGGGTCAGATGTGCCAGTCTTTTTATAACAGAAAACAGCGCAGAATTCCTCATAAACTTCTGCTGGTGAAACATTGTTGAGCGCCACCTTCTGGAGATTAAGTGTTTTGGAGGCTAAACGTTTAGAAAGAATCACTGCAGAGCCTCTAAGGAAATTTTGATTGATGTCCACAGATACCATCCGAACGTGCAACAGAATTCCATCCAGATAGAACGAATGTGTTGCTCCTTCTTGTACCCCTGAATCTCAGAGTTTGATTTCAAGGATTTATTCTCCAGAAACATCTCCTTTGTTACCTTACGTGAAATCTGCAGATTTTGACAACACTTGAGGCAGTAAGCAGTATGTGTAATGTCAGTTTCATTTTTTAAGTGTAGAGACAGTTCATTAAAATGGGCCATTGAATCCTTCACAAATTCCTCCTCCTGAGATTCATAGAGACAGTGAAAAATCTCCTTCAAAGTCATTAACGAGAAGGGCTTATTCTTATTGGACTTCACTTTCCATTTCAGCAATTCCTCTTTGACCCCACTTGACACTTGGTAGCCAAACTTTGTCTCTAGCTCCTTGGCACTGTTTTATTCAAGATGTCAAATAAGAAGTATCCTAACTGGGTCAGATTGGGCTTCTGCAATACTTCTTCAGTGAAGAATAGATTTTTTTGGATATTCCCAATGTCCCTCCTGTAGTTTTCCTAGTCTTCTTCCTCACTCCCTAAAACATAGAATATGGCAGCAAGGAACAGCTGGATACTGAGGTGGACAAAGGAGTAGTAGTTTTCGTTGTCTTTGTCCTTCTGAACTATATTTCCTAGAAAAGGGCTAATCTCAGACTCCTTCACTCAAAGTCTCTTCTCATCTTCCCCTTCCAACATAGATGTGCATGTCCAGACACCCCTAGATGCTAGGAAATATATAAAACTTTCAAGGGTGCTTGGAAGTACCAGCTGGGGCAGGTGCCAAGCATCTGTATGAACTGGTTGCATAGAAAATGCAGGAATAATGATGTGGTAATTTGGCAAGTGTGATTTTTTTATGCATCCTTTTATCCATCTGCAGTTTCAGACGTGTGTAGACAATCCAGCATACCATGAGTGCCAAACACATGCTGAAAAAAGTTGCATTGCTCTTTGTCAAGTCAAAAACTCTCATGGATTCATATTCATCTTGGAAGGACTCTAAGAAATATTCCTTCCTGCTCATTTCCAAGAAACTTTCAAATGCTATGAAGATGAGATGCCGGAGTTCCCTCAGCATCCAAGGTTGTGTGGTGATCAGGTGAGTTGTTTGAGGGAACATTTTTTTCAATATAAAACTACTCAAGAGGATGGGCATTGGCTTTGGAGTCTTCAAGTAATCACTTATGTCACAGATCAGTGCTCCAGGGGTGTATCTCAGTTCATCAAAATCATCAATGATAACCAGGACATTCTCTGTGTGGGCTATCACCTCCAGAAAGGCATTTTCAACTTAGGACAGTACTTGGCAATCAGTTCAGCACAACAGCATGATCCCATCTGGTTGAGTTCCTTGAAGTTGAGATAGAAAATATATTGGAATTTCCTTGTGAGGTTGCCATCTGTCCAGTCTATCATTAACTTTTTGACCAGTGTGTTTTTCCCAACACCAACAGGCCTGTTTTCCCACCACCACTGTGTGGGGGAATGGCCCTGAAACATTTTAGGATTACAGAAAGTGATCAATGCCTTGTATCTCTCAGTGACAATCCAAAAGCTTCTAGTGACTTCAAGGCAAAAGTTGTTCTTCCAGATTTGCTCAAATTTGTTCTTCAATACAATTTTATACTCATCTGTTGTAACTGTCTTTTAAAATATCATATACAGTTTTGTTTCTAAGTTGGTGGAATCATCTACCTCTGTAAATTTTGGGTCTACTTTTAACAGCTCTTCTATGTCTTCCCAGTTTGATCTTTTTGGTTCTGGAGTTGGTGTCATCTCTAGTTACATGGACTTCATTTCACAAAGGGATTCCACAGTTGGTTCTTGGATTTCATCCATGGCTCTCTTAGACAAACCAATCTGGTTTATTTTGTGAAGAATCTGGATGGTCACCATTTCCACTCAGTACTTGCAGCAGTTGTTGAGAATTTCTGCCAGTTGTTTCCCATTAGCAACGTCAGTGTCAGTAATTGGGGAATCCTGATGGCAAGCTATACTTTGCTGGGGAAGGGACTTTAATAGTGATTTGAACTGACTAAACTCATCCTCGTCAAACTCATCTAGAAGAAGCTGCAGGTGGAAACCCACTTATGGATGCTCCATCTTGTCTTGTCAAGGTGATCTTTCCCAACAGCTCGGTCAAGGTACTCTGTGGGTACACTGAAATACCTATTCTTAGCAATGTTATTCATAATTTGTCATGATTCACACAGTTGAAAGCCTTTGCATAGTCATTAAAGCACAGGTAAACATCTTTCTGGTATTCTTGCCTTTCAGTAAAGATCTCCAGTTTGCAATGATATGACCAGCTGTTGAAACAGGTTTGAATTTCTGGCTGTTGCTGTTGATGTATTGTTACAACCATTTTTTAAGTATCTTAAGAAAATTTTTACTTGCATGTGATATTAATGATATTGTTCAAAGCTTTCAGCATTCCATTAGGTCACCTCTCTGAAATGGGCATGAATATGAATCTCTTCTAATCAATTGACCAGGTAGCTATCTTTCAAATTTCTTGGTATAGGTGAGTGAGTAACTCCAATGCTTCATCAGTCTGGAGATTTCAATTTGTATTCCATCAATTCCTGGAGTCTTGTTTTTTACCCATGCCTTCAGTTCAGCTTGAACTTCTTTCAAAACCATCAAATTTTGATTACATGCTACCTCTTGACATGGTTGAACATCAACCGTTACTTTTTGGTACAGTGACTGTATATTCCTTCCATCTTCTTTAGATGCTTTCTGCATCTTTCAACACTTTGCCCATAGAATCCTTTGGCATGGCAACATAAGGCTTAAATTATTTTTATAATTCTTTCAGCTTGGGAAATGCTGAGTATGCTCTTTCTTTTGGTTTTCTAACTCCAGTTCTTGGAACGTTTCATTATAATACTTGATTGTGTCTTCTGAAACTGCCCTTTGAAATATTCTGCTAGACTCTTCTGATTCCTCATTTTTTCCATTCATTTTAGCTTTTCTAACCTCAAAAGCAAATTTCAGGGTCCTTTCTGATATCCATTTTTGTCTTTTACTTTTTGTCTTCTTAATAACTTTTTATTTCTTCATGTATAACGGTCTAGATATCACCCCACATGTCTTTTGGCCTTTGCCCATTATGGTCTAATGCACCAAATATGTTCTTGAGATGATCTCTAAATTCAGGTGGGATATAATTAATGTTTTATGTTGGCTCTGGTGTTGTTTTTTCTTCAGCCTAAACTTACATATGAGTAATTGATGGTCTGTTTCACATTCATACCCTGCTCCTGTTTTGGTTGGTGATTTTTAACTTCTCCACCAACTCTTTCCAGAGACGTAGTTAATTTGATTTCCTTGGATACGTAATCAATGTAATCAATCTATCTTGCAAAGTTCATGGTTATAGTCACTTTTATGTTGTTTTAAAAAGGTGTTTGCTGTGAATAGGTCGTACAAAATTCTATCATGCTATCTCCAATATAATTTCTATAACCAAGTCCATGTTTTCCTATTACTGATCATTCCTGTTTTTTTCTTTTCAAACTTTCATGATAACAGTCTGGTATTCAAGTTGGGTAGATAAGTTTGGAAGTGTGGTGGCTCTAGAGAAAAAGCTTTGGACTGTGAATCACAAGGTCTGTTTCGAGTCCACAAGCCTCTCTGTAGCACAAAGATGAGGAGTTCTGCTCTCACAATGGGCTATAGCCTTGGAAACCCTATACAAGGTCACTGTGAGTTGGAATCAACTCAACAGCACTTAACAATAACAACGAAGCTCAATTTATGTCCAAGAATGTTTGAGTCTTCCCCAGACACCTACATGACTCATTTACCAACTCCTTTCAGGTCTCAACTCCCAAGCAAGCTTTAGAGAATCCTTCTGTGACCACCTACATAAAACAGAAATGCCTTCATTTTCTCTTTGTCCTTCCTTAGCCTGCTTTATTTCCTCCAAACCACTGATACTCTCATATATCTTAAATTTAATTTTTTGGTTTATTGTATACACATCCTCGCTATTGTTGGTAGGTGCAGTTGAGTTATATCCGACTCATAGTTTCCTGATGCACAGTGGAATGAAACACTGCTTGCTCCTCTGCCATCCTCACAATTGTTATTATATTGAAGTCTATTGTTTCTGCCACTGCATTAATCCAGCTTGTTAAAGTCCTTCCTCTTTTTTGTTGACCCTTTGCTGTACCAAGCATGATGTTCTTCTCCCATCTGAAAACATATCCAAGGAACAAGAGATGAAGTCTCGCCATCCTCACTTCAAAGGAACTTTTTGGCTGTATTTTTTCCAACATAGGTTTATTTGTTCTTCTGGAAATCTATGGCACTTGCAGTATTCTTCCCCAACACTCTAATTCAAATGCAATGATTCTTCTGTGGTCTTTCTTATTCTGTCTAACTTTTGCATACATATGAGACTATTGAAAAGAGCTTGGTTCAGGCATACTTTAGTCTTCAAAGTGACACTTTTGCTCCTGAAAACTTTAAAGAGGTCTTGTGCAGCAGAAATGCAATAGGTGTTTTGATTTTTTTTTTTTTTTTGATTGCTACAAGATTGATTCTCAATCTTGATTGTGGAACCAAGTAAAATGAAGTCTTTGACAATGTCAACCTTTTCTCTGTTTATCATGATTCAACCCTGGCATACGGTTTTTCTGATTTTAAACACTTCAATATCTACTTGTTATGTATGAACAATATATCTGGTCTAAGTACAGGTTCTTCATGAGCACAATGAAGTGATCTGGAATACCCATTTTTCTCACTGTTATACACAGTTCATTATGATTCACACAGTTGAATGCCTTTGCATTGACAATAAAGCAAAAATAGATGTCTGTCTGATATTCTTTGCTATGAGCCAGTATTCTGATGTCAGCAATGACAACCCTCGTTCTTCATTCTCTTCTGAATTCAGCTTGAATTTCCAAAATCTTCCTGTCAATGTACTACTGAAACTGATTTTAAATTATCTTTGCTTACATGTGATATTAAAGATAATGTTCGATTATTTCCCCATTCCACTGGATCATCTTTCTTTAGAATAGGCAAAAATACAGATATTTTCCAATTGATTGGCCAAGTAACTATCTTCCAAATTTCTTGGTATTGTCGAGCGAGAACTTCCAGAGCTGCATGAGTTTATTGAAATCTTTCTATTTGTATTCCATCAATCCTGGAGCCTTGTTTTTCACCAGTGCCTTCAGTGTAGGTTGGACTTCTTCCTTCAAAACCATCAATTCTTGATCATATGCTTCCTTTTGAAATGGATGAGCATTGGACAATTCTTTCTTGTACAGTGACTGTGTATTCCTTCCATCTTCCTTTGTTACTTTCTGCATCATTCAATATTTTATCCATCAAACCCATCAATATTGAAACACAAGGCTTGGATTTTTCTTCAGTTCTTTCAGCTAGAGAAATGTTAAGTGTGATTTTTTCCTTTTAGTTTTCAAACTCCCGGTTTTCAAAGACATTTCATTATAATATTTGACTTTGTCCTCTTGAACTGTTATTGAAATTTTCTATTCAGCTCTTTTGCTTCCTCATTCTTTCATTTGCTTTAGCTTCTCTATTCTCAAGAGCAACTTTCAATAGTCTGTTTTGACATCCATTTGTGTCTTTATCTTCTGTCTTTTTAATGACCTTTTCTATGACTTTCATAACATGACATGAAGAATTTTGTATGAAGTTCTTAATGTCATGCCACAACTTTTCTGGCCTTTCGTCTAATGCATCAAATCTGCTCTTGAGAGGGTCTCTAAACACAGGTGGGATACATTCAAGGTCATATTTTGGCTCTTGTGGACGTGCTTTAATTTTTTTCAGCTTTAGTCTGAACTTATATATGAGCAATTAGTGATTTGTTCCATTGCCAATCTTGTTTTGGCTGATGATATTGAGATTTTCCATTTTCTCTTCCAACAGATATAGTCCATTTTATGCTTGTGTATGCCTTGCAAAATTCTATTATGTGATATCCAGCATCACATTTCAAAAATATCACCAATATGTATTTTCCAACTACTGATCCTTCCTTTTTGTTTTCATCTTTCTCATTTCAATCACCAGTAATGATCAATGCATCTTAATAACATGTTTGATCAACTTCAGCCTGAAGAATTTGGTTGTTGTTGTTGTTGTCAGGTGCCATCGAGTTGGAACCGACTCATAGCGACCC